CAAAGTCAGCACTAGTGTAGAGATATATAAAACTCTACATCATGAATAATATTTCCATATTTAGACTTGCTCTTCTAAAAAAAGGCACAGAAAATGGCTACCATCACCCAGCATTCTATTAAGTGAAATTATCTATTCTGTAATTGTCATTCCATATTGTCTATATTTGCAAAGAAGCAAATGGTCTGACTTAGCAAAAATGGTTTCTAATGCCTAATTCTGTGATGGCCACAATAGCCCCATTTAACCTTTTTACGCAGAGAAGCAGATTTCACTTTCTGTCAAAAAATGGGTGCAAAATAATCACACCACCAGATACTCTGGTGAAGATGTGAAGACACTGCTAATGGAAATGTAGACTGCAAGCCATAGTGAATATAGAGAACAGTTTGGCAGAAGTTTTAAAAAGAGCAAAAAAAAGAAAATTAAACCAACACTTACCATACAATCTAGCCATTGTCTGCCTGAGTACATATCTCCCAGAGAAATGAAAACTATGTCCACATTAAAACCTGGATACAACTGTATGCAGCAGGAATATTTTTAACGGTCAAAAACTAGGAATTACGAACTCATTCTCAGAAGATAATACACTGTACGTTTCCATTCATACAACATGCTAGAAAATGACAAAAGTGGAGAAGAAACTGGTGCTTACCATGTGAAGGTAGGTAGGAGTGGGGGTGGGAATGGGTAGGTGAATGCCATTTTTGAAGTTATAGAAATTCTTTATCTTTAGTGCAATAGCAGTTACCCAAATCTACACATGTAATAAACTGGCATGTCCCCATTTACACAGATGGCATCAGTACGTGTTTCCTGCTTTTGATAGTATTAATAGTGGCATCCACTTCCTAAATAACATGCCTCTGGAAACTCTATGAACTTTGACAAATGTCAATAGTTGTAGAGAAGCTTCAGGCCTTTTGTTCATAGGGTCACTATGAGTCATACTTGACTCAAAGGCAATCAACAACATAGTGTAGATATAATCACTGGAAGAAACTGGGTAAAAGGTATATAGCAATCTTTCTGCTCTATCCTTGTAACGTCTATGAATTGATAATTATTTCTAAAGATAAATACAAATGAATGAAAATGCATGCAAAGTCAAATCTCTGATCCTCCCATGGAAGAGTTTTCTAAACCTTCCACAACAGAAACAGTGTTTTCATGGCCCAAAATGTAAGCAAAATTTTTAACTTCGCAGAAAAAAAAAAAATCTACTGTGGTGGAGTCGATTCCAAATGAGAGTGACACTCCTCTGGGTTTCTGAGGCTGTAAATCTTTACTGGAGAAAGCTGCCCACCTTTCTCCCACAGAACAGCTGGTGGGTTCAAACTACGGATCTTTCATCTAGCAGTCTGAGATATTACACAATATGCCACCAAAGCCCCTTTCAAAGGGCACTTAAAAAATGAAACTTACAGCTTTATGGGGCATCTTAAGATCAAGACCACCCACACTCAGAACCATACACTCTGCCTTCATCTCAGATTCCAGAATTGCTCTCCCATGTATCTTCATTCCAGGTTCTGGCTTTTTAAGCCTCATATCTTAAGTTTACTTCCCAGTGACCTCAATCACACTCTAAAGTTACTGTTCTCCATGTCTTTTTCCTTCATTCCAATGGAATTTTACATCCACTCAGAACGTACTGGATGATCTAATTTCAGGAATTCACAAATGTGTATGAATTGGCTGATTAGACCTCTCTCAGAAAATACATGTTAAAAAAACAAATTGTTTTAAAAAAAAAAGTTCAGCTCAAAGTAGTATGAAATTATTTAAATTAGAATTTATGGAAAAATTTGAAAAATCATAATTTAAGAGGGAATTCTGAACTCAAAAGTCTCTCAAGCTGTCCTTGTCTATCTGAGCCATATTCTTCCTCATACCATCCCTCTCACTCAGGTCAGATTCAGCAATCTTACTTCATAAACAACTAACATTTGCAAGGCCCTTTGGTTTACAAATAACTTTTACACAAGGGACCTCATTTGCTGCTCATTAAACCCTATAGACTCCATAAAAGCATCCCCATTTAGAGAAGTAGTAACCTGGCCTCACTGATGTAACTTCTCAGAGTCACAGAGGTCAGTATTAAGCTGCAGAACTGGGAACATAACTCAGATCTCCTGACTCATAAGCCTACAAAATGTCCAAAGATTTCATCAAACTAAACCACTCATTTCCAATCTGGTTATAGACATTTTATAATAACAAATTAATGCTGCTAGAACAGAAGAAAGTAGTTGATCCAAATAAACTGTTCTGGTCTCATCTAAAGCAGACTTTCTCAAAGTATAGTTTAATCCTACAATTTTCAATATGGCTGATGATTCTAAATAGAGCTTCCAAAATAGAAAGTCAAGATGCACTTGAAGATATCAGCTGGCACAGCAAGAAATACAGAAGAATGAAACTGTTTATTTCAGCTAACCTAACTGCTTTACACAACTCACCAGTCAGAGCTTGTTTATGGACCTGGTGCTGAAACCAAGACTGAATTCAAACAAACTACTGGACTTTCCAACTCTCCTACATCTTGACCACAGGAAAGAATAACAGAACAAGGTGAACCCCAAGAAAATGTAAGAATTCTTCCATGATACACCAATCTTTAATCTTCTGGTTCTCTTTCCAATGTACTCTTTTCCAGAGGAAGCATAACTGAGACTTGCTAAGGTATAGCAAAACAAAACAAAATCTAACTAACTGAAGAGACTAAAATAAAAAAAAAA